AGCATATTCATTCAGCTCGGCTCAGCCAAAGACACAGCTGAAGAGGGTAAAAAAGGTCTGCCGAAGCAGACCGTTCTCCCCGCCGAATGTAAACAAATAGTAAAAAGAAAACATTTTCTTAAAGGGAAACCCCACCACCCAAAAGGGGAAAAAAAAACATGGGGTCCCCCTAAAATTCCCAGCCAGACCCTTAATCCGAGCACAGGTCTGGCAGGGCAGGAAAGGGGGGGGGGGGCCAGCGAGTGCCCCCCTGCCTGCACCATACCAGGACACATGGAAAAGCACCTTGTCCCCATTCCGATGGGGACAAGGGCCTCTTCCCCACAACCTTGACCTAATGGTTGTGGGGGCCTATTTGCATTGAACTACCCCCTTTAATAAAAGAGTCACCTAGGTGCTGCCCCCCCTTTAGAATGAGGAAGGGGTACCCTACTCATTCATATAAAAGGTTAACAAAAATGTAAACAGACTTGTAGAAAAAACACTTTAATTGAACAAAAAAAACACAACCAAAGATTTTGACTATTCCTTTAATAAAAAAAAAACCCAAACAATTTTAAAAATGTTTCAGCGAGGTAATCCAAAGTCAATCACGTCGTCCAACGATGTCCACGATGATGCTGACTCGTCGAAATTTTAAAAAAACCCGACGCATAATCGTGGACATCGCAAAGCGATTAACCTTAGATTACCTCGTTGGATCATTTTTTTTCATTGTTTTAGGTTTTTGCTTTTTTTTAATTAAAAGGAATAGTCAAAATCTTTGGTTGTGTTTTTTGTTCAATTACAGTATTTTTTCTACAAGTCTGGTGGGTTTATTTACATTTTTGTTAACCCTTTAGTGAATGAGTAGGGGTACAAGTACCCCCTTACTCATTTCCAAGGAGGGGCAGCATCTGGGCGCCCCCTTTATGAAAGAGGGTACCCAGATGCAGATGAGCCCCCTACTGCTTGCCAGCAGTAGATATATGCAAAAATAACATAGGCTTTAGAAACCCTTTAAGGTCTGGTTGGGAATGTTTTAAATTTTTTGGTGGTGGGGTTGCCCCTTAAAATTCCTACCAGACCTAAAGGGCCTGGTATGACTTTTGGGGGAAACCTCACGCCCGTTTTTAAATTTTTTTTAACTGGGGCTCCCTTCTAACATTCCTACCAGACCTAAAGAGTCTGGTATGGTTTGGGAGGGGGACCGCACACTGTTTTTTCTTTTGCTTACATTTTGTTTTTATTCTGCTCGCTACCTCTGAGGTACTGAGCAGAATAACAGAGCCGAATGCTGCTTGTTCACCCCTATTCTCTATGGGAATAGGGGTGAACAGCAGTGAATGAACTGCCGCACTCTCGCCTCAGTCGATCCAGATGTTGAATCGGCTGAGGAGAACGTGCTCTTTACTTTGGCTCAGCCGAACTATTCGGCTGCATTAAATTGAACCGAAGTGAGCTGAAGCCAGCCAATGTACGGCTGAAATCATTCGTACTCGGCTGAAGTGAATAGCCGAATGGCGTTCGGCTCCCTCCACTTCGGGTCGGTTATTCATTTGTCTGCCTTTGGCCTATATATTTAACTGTATATACAGTATAAGTGTATTTAGCTGTTTGACAAGAGTTCCCCCCTTTTGCACTTAGCCTAACTCTAAAACTTAAAGGCTATTTCCACCTTTAATACCATGTTCCATGGAACATCCATATTTACGATGTAACATGGAACATGATGCCAATCTGCAGCCTCCCACCCTCAACCCAACCCCCAACTTACTTGAATGGTGGGGTTCTTCTCCTCGCAGGCTCCTGTGTATTTTTAAATTCAGCTGTGTCGTTCATTCACGGATCCATTCACAGGATCTGTGTCAGTGGGACTCGTAGTTCTCAAAGGAGTACAAGTGCCATGACATCACTGCACTTGTAGTCCATTGATAACTTCCTCCCGCTCTATAATCATAAGGTTCTTACCCTGGCAGGTCTCTGGGCTGGGCGAATAGTCTGCACTATGGGTGCATTTATTCAGTTCATACATTTTTTGCAAAAAGTGAAATATGCCTGTAACCTTTACCCTGACCCCAACACTTGCAGGTATATTATATCAACCTTGGATCAATTTTAATGTGCTTACGTATAGTTAACACCTGGGTTATGGAAAGAGAACAGCGAATGCAGCCTGCCTTGTGGCTTGCTTTGTCTGGTTGACATCAAAGAGCTGCAACTGGTTGGGCAGCGAAGGGAAGCAACTTTTGGGGACCAGTGGTGCAGTGCAGAGGAAGCTACATTAAAGATAAATTTTTGTTAATAGTTAAGGTACTTAGATGTATTTTTAAGATTTAAAGGAGAACTATGGGGTTAAGTCTTTTCCTGCTCTTTTGCTGCTCGCGGTATACTGAGACGCCGCAGCTGAAACGGATCCCGACAATTGTGCCGGGATCTGCCCAGCTGCGTGACTGACAGCTGGCTCTGCCAGCTGTACCCGCCCCCTCCCCCGTCTGTTCCGCCAGTCAGCGCTGGCGGATCGGAGCGGGGAATCGAGAGGTGAGCGAACGCCGGTATGTGTTCGCTCGCCTCCTGCTCTACTGAGCCGACCTGTGACAGTCTCATTGTCACAGGTCGGCTAGAACTATGAGGTGAGTGAAAAGCACTCACCTCATAGTTCTCCTTTAACTCCTGTGTTTAGTGTCACTTTAACCCAGTGATGACGAACCTTTTTGAGCCTGAGTGCCCAGACTGGCGAGATCTCCAGCTCGTGACGTCAAGTCCGGTGACTTGCCAGTAGGAGATTTGGACAAGATGGCGCTAGTGCGAGAGCACCAGCCGTGGTAGTTTCAGAATCCTCGTCAAATTCTCCAATTCCCGTCAGTGCGCCTACGCAGCTTCACAATCCTCGCAGTTGCAAAGCAAAGGCAGCTAATCAGAGAGCGCCTTCTGCTAACAGATTTCATGTTATGCCATCAGGTGGGCGCGCAGGCGCAGTAACGCCAATTGAAGGACTTGATACTGCTCTTGGGAGGCCGCGCAGGCGCACTGACGGGAGTTGGAGAACTCTACGAAGATTGTGAAGCCGGACAGGCCCACTGACAGGAATTGGAGAACTCAATAGGATTCTGACACTGCCATGGCTGGTGCACGCGCACTAGCACCATCTTGTAGAAATTTCCTACTTGCAAGTCCCCCGACGTGGCGCAAAGGGTTGGAAATCTCGAAGAGTTGGCCTTTTCGATAGAACACGGGGACAGTCGGGCCTATTTTCAGGGGTGGGAGCTCCAGGAACCCCTATGTTAATCTGGACCAGGGCTTTCATGCCAGCAGAGAGGGCACTGTGTGCCCGCTGTGGTACGCGTGCAATAGGTTCGCCCCTGCTGCTTTAACTCATTGTGGGGAGGGTTAAGAACAGTTTTGCTTTAAATGAAGACAGGAGTCTTCTGACTCCTCTTAGCAATCCTTTCTTGTGCTGAATACAGCCACAAATGACCAGAGGAGTGTGCAGTGGTTGTTGTGGTGGGGGGAATTGTCTCAATTTGCAAATGTCAAGCCTCGGTGCTGCCCCCACCTCTTACCCCACCGTCCTAAGCACTATCCCCGCAGTGCCACTATGACTACAGCCCCGGTAATTGGATTGGCACATGTGCAGTAGGGGACTGGAGATGTAGGGTGGTCCTGCAGCTGGTACCCTCCATCCCTTGGCAGTGATGATCAGGATCTCCTAGGGCTCGCCATGCCGTGTAGCCTGCTGTACTCCGTCACGTCCACGGCTCGTCATTAGCATGTTGTAGGCACAGCCGAGACCCGGGCAGAGCGCTGCAGAAGACGAGGCTGGAGGGCGGCAGAGATCGCTGCCATTTCTGCACAGCCCCGCATAGCACAAACATGGAGCACGGTACGTGGTCTCCTCCTGATCTACTAACCTAAATCAGCCGCAAAGTGGGAGGACTGAGCCCGGGGAAGGCTGACAGCCAGCGAAGGAAGAAGGAGGAGGAGGAGGGGGGGAGCTGACTGATCGCCTTGCGTGGGTTGCCGCTGCAGATGGCACGGAATTGGCAGCCAGGTGCGAAGGAGAAGGTAGATGCCAGCCAAGCTCGGCCAGGAGGTGTTAGGCAGGGCTTGCATGGGTGCAAGGAGGGATCGCCGCAGCCTGGCACCCTCCTGCTGCTTGCTGGTATGGATAAGCTGGGCACTGCCTGGGTAGATCAATGCAGATCTGGGGTAGTGGAGATGGGGGTGAGAAGGGGTGGTGGGGAGCTGTTCTTTGGACAGGTACAGCTGCAAGTGGGCACTTGGGCACAGACAGTTGCCTCTGGACTGGCTGCTACATCTCCCACACGTGAAATGGGCTCCTTTTCCCCTCCCACATGCTCCTTCATGTACACATTATCATGCCTAGTAGATGATCTGGGCCCCCCCCCCCCCTTTCCCTTTAATTCACATGGGGGTGGTGGTGATGGGGGGGGGGTCTGCCTGTATTGCATGCCGCCTGCATTGCGTCTCTATGTGAATTCCCATAGAAAAAAAATGCCTTGTGTTTGTTTTTTTCCTTCCTTGGCAGTAAAAAAAAAAAGAAAGCCTTTAGGATGTAGTATTTGGAGTGGCTGGACTTGTGATGGCCAGGGAGGATGTTGCTGCCCTCTCCTCTCCTGCACCAAATCGCTCTCAGGTTTCTGCTGATACTGCAACGTCAATAAATGGTTAGTTTGCTGTCCCTCTTAATGTATTCAGACTTAGCAATAAGCCACACTCATTGCTGCTGGTGATGCAGCTGGTCTGCAGTTTCCTGGATTTTCCCGGCTCCATACACCTCTTTTGGAATAAGTGAGGATTTTAAAGCACACCTTATATTTTTTTTTGTATATCTATATATATACTTATTTTATTTAACGGAAGAGTTGTCTGTGCAGCTCTCCTTTGACTTGCTTTCGATGCAGCCTTCCATAGCATGCAGTATGAATATTTCAGCAGGACGTGCGCTGGCTGCTGTAAACCGATCTGTTTGTTTAAGGGGCACAGAAGGCTGATCTGCATGCGCCTTTTATTTTTTATTTTTCCCCCAAATGCTGCAAGGCTTGACGCATTCCCATGCTGCTATTACAGTACCTACCATGCTGCTGCAGCTACTCACAAACAAGGTAAGACACCAGCACTTGCCTTAATCCCCCCTTCTCCCTTCTCCTCCCTTTGCTCCCCTCCACACTGCATCCTATTCACTGCAGTAGAGTGATTTGTTTGTGTAGTTCCCTGAACTTGGTGCTTTGTGTCGGAATGTGAAGTGTTTTGCCTTGCCTTGCTCCGAACCACTCTAGAAAGTCTGCATGTCTGGGTATGTGTTTTGTTTTTTTTTGCACATTGTGAATGCTGGATTCTCTATTTTTTTCCTCCTTTTTTTAGTGGTTCTTCTTTACTTTTTTTCCCCCCTGCAGCTTTCTTCTACTGCACTGCTGTTATGATCCGGTTTACCTAACTGTGAAAGCAAAAAAAGAGGAGGGGAGAGGAAGAGGAGGAAAATCTGCTGAGTTGGCAAAGCCTTTAGCATCCTGCAAGCATTTCTGGGGAAGGGTGACAGCAAGCCCAGCAATGAAATATTCGGAGAGGAGAACTGACTTGCTGGAATAAAAGGAAAAGAAAAGGACTGAGAAGATTTTTTTTCTCCAAGATTTGCTCTGGCCCAAGGGGGGATTTGGATTGCAGTAGATGTGAAGGGGGCATCAGAGTTGGCATCCCTAGGTCCCCCAACTGTGTTTTGCCTTGAAGACCCTGGACGGGATAGAAGGAGGGTGCTGCAGCAGCAAAGTGGTTACCCCCAGCGGCATCCCCTCCCCCACCCCTCCTCCCCTGCAGCAAAATGACCGTGATAGCGGGAGAAAACATGGACGATACATCAGCCCTTCCAGGTCACCCTCAAGACAGCTACCAACCTGACCACGATGACCATGAGTGCTGTGAGAGGGTGGTCATCAACGTGGCTGGGCTGCGTTTTGAGACCCAGTTAAAGACCCTTGCCCAGTTCCCCAACACCTTGCTTGGAAACCCCAAAAAAAGGATGCGCTACTTCGACCCTCTGAGGAATGAGTACTTTTTCGATCGCAACCGCCCTAGTTTTGATGCCATACTGTACTACTACCAGTCTGGGGGCAGGCTTCGTAGGCCGGTCAACGTACCCCTGGACATGTTTTCTGAAGAAATCAAGTTCTATGAACTAGGGGAAGAAGCCATGGAAAAATTTCGTGAGGATGAGGGCTTTATCAGAGAGGAGGAGCGTCCCTTGCCGGAAAAAGAGTTCCAACGCCAAGTTTGGCTTCTGTTTGAGTACCCCGAGAGCTCAGGCCCAGCAAGGATCATTGCCATAATTTCTGTCATGGTGATCCTCATCTCTATTGTCATATTCTGCTTGGAGACTTTGCCAGAACTGAAGGAAGATCGGATCTTCAGCCGCAGAGTGGACAACAGTACAGTCTTTTTCAAATCCAACATCTTTACGGATCCCTTCTTTGTGGTGGAGACCCTGTGCATCATCTGGTTTTCCTTTGAGTTGGTGGTAAGGTTTTTTGCTTGTCCCAGCAAACCAGAATTCTTTAAGAACATCATGAACTTTATTGACATAGTGGCCATTATCCCATACTTTATAACCTTGGGGACTGAAATGGCTGAACAAGATGGTCCCCAAAAAGGGGGGGAGCAGGCAACCTCTTTGGCAATCCTGAGGGTCATCAGACTGGTAAGAGTCTTTAGAATCTTCAAACTCTCCAGGCATTCTAAGGGCCTCCAAATTTTGGGACAGACCTTGAAAGCTAGCATGAGAGAATTAGGGTTGCTTATCTTTTTTCTGTTCATTGGGGTCATCTTGTTCTCCAGCGCAGTGTACTTTGCTGAAGCAGAAGAGGATGACTCTCATTTTACCAGTATCCCTGATGCTTTCTGGTGGGCGGTGGTATCCATGACCACTGTGGGCTATGGTGACATGTACCCTGTGACAATTGGAGGCAAAATTGTGGGCTCCTTGTGTGCCATTGCTGGTGTCCTGACAATTGCCCTGCCTGTACCTGTCATCGTGTCCAACTTCAACTACTTCTACCACCGAGAAACTGAGGGTGAAGAACAGGCTCAGTTGCTCCATGTTAGCAATCCCAACTTAGCCTCTGACAGTGACCTGAGTCGACGCAGCTCTTCCACTATGAGCAAATCTGAGTACATGGAGATCGAAGAAGATCTGAATAATAGCATAGATAATTTTAGAGAGTCGAATCTGAGAACTGGCAACTGCACTGTAGCCAATCAGAACTGTGTTAACAAAAGCAAGCTACTGACAGATGTGTAGAGCCACGCCCCCTTCCCACAGCTGCAGGATCTCATTGGCTCTGCCACTCTCCGTAGATGCTTTAAAACTAGTCTTTTGAATGCTTTACCATCGTTAATGCATTGTTGCATTGCGAATTTGTGCTCAGCGATCAAAAATAAATAAATACAGAAGCTTTCAGGATCCGTGAAAGATAATTATCATTTATTTTTAAATGGAAATGTTTTTTTTCTTTTTGGTTTTTGTTCCCACTGGTATTTGGGAAGTGTCTCCCAACCAGTGGTCATAGATAAAGGGGTATAAACGAAGTACTACAGGACAGCAACTTAACACTTTCTTCCCTTTGCTTGTCAATCTTAAAGTTTCAGAACAAAACCATTGATGAAAAGATATGCATGGATTTTTTTCAGCAGCTTTCTTGAAAGACAGTTGCTTTGAGCATCCAAGGAAGTTCTCCTTAACCAAGGAGTTAACATGAAGTATGCAATTACTTGCTCTTTTTTTGACCTGAAGAAGTGTATTACTGTCCAGTGAAATATTATGCACTTAAACGATGACCTGATCCATAAAGCACCTTAGGAATCAATCCATGACTTTGCTCCATCTTAAAGGGAGAGGGACATATATTTTAAAAAAAACATTTAAATGGAAAAAAAATGGACAGACATCTGCAATTGCTGCTAGAGTTTTCTTTCTTAAATGCAGATGAGTTCGACCTTTTTTAAAAATTTCTTTTTGGTTCACAAAACTTGGATGCAACTACCCCTCTTCTCTTTATGCCTCTCCTTCCTCATCATCCTCGTTGCAAGACAGCACAATGGTATTAATCATAAGCATGTTTTTCAATTTGATACCAGTTGTATTTATTTGATAATCTCGCATGCTTGAAATGTTACCTCAAAAATACGGAGGATAAGTTTTATTTTTCCTTTGATTCGTATTATTTAAAAAATTCCTAATTGTATTACTTTGTCTTCCAAAGGGGTTTGCATCAACTTGCAGTGCAAGATGCTGTGCCCCTCTCTGGCAAAACAAAGGATGAACTTAAATCATTTTTTTTTTAAATGTTATTTATTATTTTAATGTTATTTCAGTTATCATTTGCATTCACCAAAAGTGCACTCCTAATTTCTGGAAAACAAAAAAAAATTGAAAAAGAAACTTTAAATTAGTAATTTGCAGTACTGTATGTAAACGCATAGCAAGTCAAATGGGGACAATAATCTTTTCTTAGAAGACCACGCATGTTCAAGTATTCAGCATTATGGCCTATTTGACTAAGGTGTAATTCGAAGTAAACTTATGCATGATATCAGTATTAAAGAAAAAAAAAAAGAAAAAAATTAAAAAAGAAAAAAAGAAAAATGTTCTTAATGGATTAGGAGCCAGTTGGAATATAAGGGCCTATTGCTTTTCCTGAAGTATGACTCAGGGAAATATGTTAACTTTTTCCAGGCATAACTATTAAAAACAAAAATGTAAAAATACAAGGGAGACAGTAGGATTTTGATAAAAGTCGAAAAGGATAGTATGTAGTGATACCTAAGACTTATAAAAACAATGATGTGAGTAGATTTACTGAACTGGTGCAGATGCATGCATTTTGCTGCAGTCTCAGAATGTAATTTTACCATTTACAGTATGCATTAAAAACTGCAGACCACATTCCTAGCCTCTCATCATTTGACATCCATAGACTTTTTTTTACGGCTCTAGAATGTGCTATGTTCTAGAGAGGAGAACGATCGAGATCAGGAATGGGTTACCTGTGGCTCTCCAGCTGGTAAGGAAAGACAGCTCCCCGCATGCTTTGCTAAGAGTAGTAATGACTCCCATAAAGCCCTGTTGTTCTCTTGTTGTTGAGAGCTGACGTTCTTCATGGCAAAGGATGCTAGGAGTTGTCCGTCCTTAATACCTAGAAAACTGGAGGTTGCCCAAGCCTCATCTACATAGTTGCTAGTGCCTTTATCCTTCCTTCACCGACTTTGCTGAAAGTGCCTCCGTGACTAGAGCTAAGATGTACAGGAACTGTACTGTGTAAAAAACAAAAAAGTCTTGATAACTTCATATAAATCCCTAGGGGTTTGATCTCCCCTTGTGTCCCCATATATATATATATATAAAAAATCTCTGATGTACAGAGCAGGGCCAGTATGCTTGGATGTATATTATCTTGAAAGATCATTTGTATAAATAATGCTTTTTATTTGTTAAGCAACTAAAAAGCTTTTTATATTGCTTATGTGCTGTATGAAAAACAAAAACAAACCATCTTTCAGCCTATGGGAAAAGTTTATGCACTTAACAAGCTACAAACTTTTTTTTAATTTAATTTGCTGTTTCGTTATTGTCCTATTAGGTTTGTCTTCCTGTTGCGAGAATACCTACCCAATACATATGCAATGCTGCAGAATGTTATTTACTATTTTAGACGCACAATGCCATGGGTATCCAAATATGTTTATACCCTGAAAATAAAAAAAAATACTCAGTATGGTGTCTCTTTATAGAAAATGTTAGCACTTGATAAGCAGCGCATTAAAAGGTTATCCCACCATTGTGATAAATTTGATACTGAATGATAAGGCAGAACAAAAAAACCTTTGCAAGTAATATTGAATTTCTGATTTGCAGGGTGACTTGTAAGTCACCTGGCATAATATGGATATTTCTTTTAGGCCCATGGGGAATTGTTCAAGTATGTCTACATTGCATTTCTACAATTTTACATTACAATTTCTACAATTCTCAAATGGCAATAGGCAAAGTCTGAATGTTTCCCATTGGGTACATATGATAGGTCCAAAGCCAGCATATGCTATGTTCCATAGCTACTGTCTTAGATCTATATCTTCCTGCCCTGCATGTCAGGATCAGATTTGTCAGGAAAGTGGGTAAATGGAGCTATGTTTTAAAGGCTTACACCTCCTGTGATTTTACTGTTTTCCTCCAAAATTATTTGTGCATTTCACCCATCAGCTTTATCAAGGATGTAAGAGGAGAAGTAACTGTGGCAAAAGATCATTACACCTAAAATAAATTCTGAAATTAGATTGCAGAGTTAAAGTGAACCTTCTTTATTAAAGTTTGTAAACTATTCTCAGGCTAAAGGCACATACTTTCCAAGCACCCCCAATGACTGCAGCTTTAGACAGCCAGCTTGTCCCTTTCTGTCTCCCACACCTCACTGTTGGCCAGTGAGGCCGCATATCCCATTGAGGGACCAGTAGGAGTCAGGACATGGTGGGCCAGAGATTTACTTTTGGCTTTTTAGGGCCCCCTTGGTACCTCTTTGTACCTTATTTCTGTCCTGTTAGTAGTTTATGAACTTTAGGGGAACACATTGTTTACTTTAACATGATATAATATATAAATGGTGTTTAAACCTAAGGTTTAAAAATAATAAGGTTTTCATGTAGGTTAGGTCCCACTAAGCACCTGTTATTATCAGTGTTATGTCTGAAGGATGAAAATCTTTCTTAGATGAAGAAGGCAACATATATCTTGGTCCATTATTCCTGAACACAGAAGCACATCTAAGAAAAAATGCTGTTACAATTATGTTCCTCAAGGTTCTTTTTTGTTTTTAATACATATGCTTTTCTAACATGTATAGACAGAATTGAATTTGTGGGTTAAGGCTTTTCCTTTTTCAGTATCGTAAACCTAAATAAATACAGGTGTGAGAAAACATTTGGGCACCCCTGGTCAAAGTATGTTTGGTTAATTTCTAAGGGAAACAAGCTTTATAGGAATAATCTTAAAGGGGGATCATAATCTTTAATTTTTTTAGGTATACATGTCAAAGAGGTCATCCTAATTTAAATAATCATGTTCCTATATGTATGTGAGGCCAACATATTTGTTCATGACATATGCAGGCTATGCTTTCTGCTTAGCAATGCTCTTCATTTGACTTGCTGATTCTCTTACCTCAATGCAGAGCCTGTCTAATTGAAAATTGTAGACTCTGTTGTATCTAATAACATGAAACACCAACAATTAACCATGAATTACTTCAGTTGTAAGAGTGCCAAATGTAAATGAGCTGAAAATAAGAGAGCGTGCGTTTTGTCCTTTTATTTGCTATAAAGTCAGTCAAAAATGCCAACATGTTTTAGGGTTCTTAACATGCTCCTTTCCTTGTCTAAAGTAAAAATAAAAATCACAGTCTACTTTAGGAAATGGATAAAAAAAAGTTTGGTCAGGTCCTTTACAGAATTGCCAAACATTAAACATCTGTAGGTGGATATCAGATTTGTAATGTACCCAAGATACCCTAAGAAAATTGCTTGCAGAAATATTCTGCAAGCAATCATATAGAAAATTCAACAAATTCTAAGTTCTTTCCTATAGTAAAAATAAAATAAAAATTTGTCTGCCAGCTACTAGAACATTAGGTTTTTGGGGTGTTTTTCTGCATGGTGGTTGTTAGGATATGAATGGCTGATTTCAGGGAGTTGACCCAGATAATTTTTAGCACAGGACTTCCAAGCCCATTATTTGTGTGCCCAGTAAGATAAGTCTGGATTTTACGTTATAAGGGAGATGTCAGGGGTTAGTGGCTAAGGGTAAGGTTTAGGGGGTTAGGCGTATGGTTAAAGTGATCCTTTAAACTTTTCAAGTTGGTAAACAAGTGGTAACTTCATTCGTTCTATCAGATGTTCCAAAAGCACTATTTCTGTTTCCAAAACATGCAGATGAAATGGTGCTAATACTGAGATGCAAATTAAAAATGTTTGTCAAAAGTCAGTAGCTAGGCCCTCATCTCCATCTCAGGCTATTTCCCCTGGCCACTTATGTATGCCTAATCTCCAGCAGTGACATATGACAAGCAGAGGTGACTTTGATCTGCCAGCTGTAAAAGACACCCTGTGACGGGTGGTGACCAATGGGAGAATAACTTGCAGGACTGCCCAGAGTGAAGTTTTTGCTCAATGATATTACACCGGCAAGCTTTTTTTTTTTTATTAGTTAATTAGTTCATATTTGACAGGGAAAGGGTTATCTCAAGTTTTATGTTTAAGTGTTAACTTTAAACCAAAGGTGAAGGTTAGGGTAACATTAATGGTAAGCCTGAGCATTAAGGGATTCATTTAATTAAATATTAAATTTAAAGGATAATAAATTATTTTTTTATGAACTTTTTTATAGAAAACGAGAATACAACAATGTATTGCAGAAAAAAGCAAATAGACATACAAAACAAATAACACACAATAAAGCAAAGCAAAATAAGCAAACAAACCAAACCAAGGAGCATGAACCTTGATTCCCCTCAGCAGCCACCAGCAGTAGTAAAAATCCAAAGTACAGAATACACAGATTCAAACATTATACTTAAATTGGTGACATCCACATGCAGCAGAGGATGGGGGGGTTTTAAGAGTAAATTAGGCATTAACGGTTGGGTGGGAGTTAAGATCAGGTTTAGAGCTAGTGAAATTTTAGTTGGCAGGGAGATGTTTGTGCACGTGTTAATTTTTGCATCTTTTTAACCCTGACAACTTCACATTCAAATTACCAAATTTTTTATGGTTAATTTGTTTTCCAGTTTCTTACATTTAGCAAATAAATAGTAACTGCTGGTAGAATCTGCAGCCTGTCAAACACTGCAATATGCAGTGTTTTACATTTGTTCCCTGCACAGTTTTTGCCTTACTTAGAAAATTAAAATAATATGTAATCGGAGCAAGGGTGCCCAAACCAATCTCACAACCGTACAAGAAAGCTGCATTGAAAGTCATAGGAGGGCATTAAAGTACTATGGATGGTGTTAAAGTAAATAGCCAGTTTGATTGCCTGTCAACCGTATTTTCCAAAGACGTTTTTACTGTATACATTACATGTAAAATAAGATAACAATAAAAAAACACAGCTCAACAGACCACCTGGAATGTATAGAATTTGGGAGTTCTCGCACATTATATATGGGCTTCTGCATGGGTCCAGAAATGGCTGCATATTTAATTTTTGGATTTTTTTTACATTTTTGTATTTATTTTGTGTTTTTGGAAAGGGTGAAAGGTATGAAATTAAAGTGCAATCTGAAGTGTGTTTATGATGCTTTTCCCATTGTAATTCTGCCCATCTGGTTAACCCTTTGTTTGAAGTACAGGGATAAAGTCACATAGCCTAGGCATGCAGATCTAAAAGTTAAACGTCTGATGAAATGTCGTACCTTTTTCAAATGCGCTCAAATGTCTTTGTAGACCTGAACGTGCACTTGACAAATTGCTTGTTATTTAAAGAAATATTAAATAAACATAATATTTTTTACAGCCGGTTTACTTCTGAATTTGTTCTCTGGGTTGCACAGTATGTGCTGTGATAGTCTGAAGCTGGCTATACAGGTGGCAACTTTCCGGCAGATTTCAATCAAGTTGGAATTGAAATGCCAAGGGATGGAATGCAGAAATTAGGTTTCAGTTGACTGTAAGGTGATGGGATTGAAATTGCCTCAGTCGAAATCTGTGAACAATCTTATTGTCATATTTTCTTGATTAATTATTTTTTTCTCATTAAAACTGTCATTTTAAAGCCCAGTTTGATTATTTGTTTCCCAGTTGATCAAAAGTGATTGAAATTGCCTGAAAGTTGCCAGATGGATGGCCAGCATTAGCCCTTATAAAATTGAATGTATGAGCACGCCTTTGTTTAAATTAGGTTATTTTGTGTTGTCCGTACCTTGATAAATTGAACCTAAAAAATTTTATGCGTTTATTATTAATCACAAACATTATCCATAAGGTTTCATTTTGTATTACTTTGTTCTCTATTACAGCAAAAAAAAAACCTGGGGCTTGTATATAAAAAAAGGATCTTAAACTGATACAAAGTTTGACATTCAACCCAAACTTATGAATTACCCTGAGAATTAAAGATACAACTTGACTTTTTGCTGTGGGTAGCTCCTCCACGTGTGCTCCATTTAGTTTTTAAGATAATTTGACCAGTTTCATAAAAATACGTAGAATAAAAATCAGTGCCATTTAATGCATGCACGTTAGGTGAAAAGATGTACATAATTGTATGCAGATGGGAATCCTCGTTTAACATGGTTTTTTTTCTTCTGTGATGTAAGTGTGATTATAACCAGAACGTTTTTATTTGTTGGATAGATTGGGACAAAATTAAAACCCCTCTGAGTTTAGTTTTTTTCTACACTTCCTATCCCAGAGATACCACAGCAAGTGAGAGAAAATCTCTACAAAGTGAGGGGAATTCCTTTCTCTGACAGTTCTCTCCATTGGAAGTTTTACCCTCACTTCTGGTTCTGGGGAAAACAAAACCAGGCAGAGGTTCTCACTGTTCCACAAAATGTTTTGGCCGGAGTTCGGCTGGAAAGATGTTTTTGCTTGCAAGTCATTGGATGATTGAAATGAATGGAGCTTTACTTTATAAACATTCTCCACTGCATTGGGTTGATTTACTAAAGAATTATACACTTTTTGCTTTGAATCAACAGGTTTAATTTC